ACTTGCTAATGGGCTCGTGAGGCCGGGTGTTGCGCCAAGCGAGGAACGTTGGTGGTCTTGATGCGGGATTGTGCGAGGTCGAGTGCCGGTCGTCGTCGTTGCGTGCTTGGTTTCTCCGTCCAGCGACAATCGGTTCCTTCTGCGCTCGAACCAGAACAATGAAGGGCGTGATCGGCCCACGCTTCTTGCGGCCTAACGGCTGGTTCATACTCAGAGACTGATCCCGACCAGTTGCACCGAGTGGGACGGCTGACGCCTCTTACAGCCTCATGAAGCGCGGCAGTCTATCCATGGGTCTTGGGGCGATCAAGATGACAGTGATTTGACAACTCGCTCGTCGGACGCAGTGTAGGGATGGGCGATACAGCCGTGCTGGAAGCTCGCGCGGGGCATGGATGGTCTAGCTGGCGCTGTAGCCAGGTACCTGCCCAGCTTGCTTCAAGAGAAATTGAGGCGTGGGATGTTGGTTGTTCTGTCGCCATCCAGTGGTTTTGATCCGCACCCGTCACTTCACAACGCGCCTTTTCCAAAGCATGCGTCCGTTTGCCCTTCTCGTCGCGGCCCTCGCTGCCACAACGCTGGTCGATGCTGCCAACCTCCGCACCACTAGCGACGAGCCAGATACGTACCCGTGGGTCAACAGCGCAGACGTCCGCAAGCCCGTCGCGAGCTCGGATCCGAGCGCCGACACCTACCCATGGGTCAACTAGGAATGTCTAGCTGTGTGTAAGAGCGTTCGTTTTGCTTTCCTTCTACCTACCTATGTACTATCTTCGCGTTGCTCGTGTCTGCCCTCGACAAAAGTTCCGGTGGCTGCGACGCATTGCCAAAAGCCATCATCATCCTTGGGAGGCATTGCGTCCACGCCAATCACAGGCACCGCCACGTTGGCGGTCAAGATGTGGTTCCAAGAATCCATATATCAATATTGTGGAACGTGTCCTCTTCTCGCGTGCACATCCCCTTGCCGTCGTCTCGAAGCGCAACGCACAAGAGTTCTCCCGAAGCTCCGAGCGCAAACGTCCACACACGCAGTGCTGTAGCTTCATCTCGAGAGAAACATTTTTGTCGTCCTAGAAAGCTTCAGCGCGTTACCTTGCCAGTTGTTGCAGTTGCTGTTGTGAAGTTGGTCGTAGATAAAACTACGCCAAATAAAAATATCCGACATTCTTTGTTGTGTACACTTGGTTGAGGAACTCGATCTAGGCTGACGTAGATGCGAGCGCGATCCGCGGGACAAGGAGCTGGCGCGGTCACTCGTCTTGCGGGCAATTGCCACACCGCCCAGACAAATCCAACCATATCTTGCCATATCACCACACGTCAAGAATGATCCAAGAACCAAAATATAGGCTCCTTTTGTTTCTTCGATCCATCAAAGCCCCGCGTTAGCTCCAACCAACAACGTACAAACCCTTGTTGGGACTGCCGCCAAGCTTGTGATGCGAAAGGCGATGCCTTGGTCCAGGCACGGTCTCGTTTTGGCTTAATGTTTACAGTAAAATTGACGTTCTTGACGTCCTATCGCGGTCAAGATACCGGCGCCAGCTGCTCGAATCTCGCGCATCATTTTCGCATCCGGCCGGCCCCATGCACGAGGCGCACGAAGCGACCCGCGCGCTCTTGTCGCCGACCACGCATCGCCACCATCCGCTCTCGCGACCAGGTACAACACTCGCCTCTCGCATGAATCTGGGTAGACAGGCGGTGCTGGATAGTCGTCCGCGGGACGATCGCCATTTGCGCGCTCGTGCTCGCGCTTCTCGTCTGGACAGCATACCCGACATTGCCACACAGCGCGATGCCGATTCCCGTCCTGTCCCGCGCCGACTATGACGACCTGGACGACCCCGAGACGGCGCCAACGCTGCTGACGCTGCTGGCGCTCGGCGACTGGGGTGGGACACTTGGGAAGGAGTCGGGCGACCCCGGGTCGTGCTGCGTCATGTACAATGGGTCGGTCGACACGCGCTCGGACCGGTACAAGGTCGACTACTACGCGCAATCGTACGTTGCGGACCTCCTGGCGGCGTCCGCAGCGCAGCTCGCGCCC